CCAAAGCGAAAGCACGATTCGAGAAAGCCGCCACAATCAACGGTGAAGTGATAGAGCGCTTGGCAACTGCATCTGAAGACTGCACAATCATACTATGGACGCCTTTGACAAGCACGAAACCAGTGAATAGGATGACCGGTCATCAGAAGCAGATCAACCAAGTAACTTTCTCGCCCGATGGTTCCATATTGGCATCGGGAGCTTGGGACAATCATGTCAAGTTGTGGTCAGCTCGAGATGGAAAATTCATCGACACCCTCAGGGGACATGTCGGTCCTGTATATATGACGTGCTTCTCTGCTGATAGCCGGCTACTGGCGAGCTGCAGCAAAGATACGACATTGAAGGTGTGGGACATGAGAACCAGGAAGCTGAAGGAAGATTTGCCAGGACACAAAGACCAGGTGTTTGCGCTGGACTGGAGCCCGGACGGAGAGAGAGTCGGGAGTGGTGGTGCAGACAAGCAAGTGCGGATTTGGAGCAACTGATGAGAGACTACTCACAGCGTGACGATAGTTTGCAATTGATACCCCTGGTGCGAATGTGATCATGCTATCCCATGCCTAATATGCTCGGTGCCGTTATACATATATAGCATATGTCGCTAAAACAGGGCATACCCGACAACTAGCTGGTAGAGTCGAAGGGCAGAGTGGGGCCGATCGGCAGAAGCTTGGCAGTCCCCGCAACAGGAGTGGCTTTACGTGGCGTGACAGATTGTGGCGACGTCATCGCTCTGCCACTCGCAAAAGCACGAACGGCTCTTCGGCGCTGCAGTCATGGGTAGTGTGGCGCTGGCGCACAAAGTGGAGCTACATGGGCGTGGTGTGGCCAATGTCATGGAAACTCAGGCGCGTACCTACGTCAACTGTGAAGAAAAGGGAAACTCTACCCTGTCGTGCACACGAATGCTGAGCTACTATTGTGGGTTTCAGGACATCAACACGTTCCTTGTTTCCTGGCAGTCAGATATACAGATGTGTTCGTGATAAATCCCTCTCATCTTTGCTCCCATCGCTTGAGCATACCGCCAACAGCACATATTATTGCCAAACGTCTCAACATGTCCGGCGTGGACGACGTAGATGCTCAACATAGGGACTACCGACGGCCACACAACGCACATAACCCAATTCCGACAGTCCAGAAGTATCGTGAGGAGAAGCAGAGAAGGCAACAAGCGTACGGGAACCCAGATGGTGAGAGCAATGAGCCGAGCAAACGCGATCGGTTCGGCGACGCTGTAGATGTCTTCAGGTTCGGAAGAGATGTGGAGCAGGCCAATGATGGAAACGGGCCGTACCCAGCTACAAACAAGAATCTCCCGCAAGACGATGAAATTGCCGAAGATCATGCTGGCAAGACAGTACCTAGCAACGGCCACAGAGATGCACCCCAGGATATGGATGACGAGCAAGAGGTGGAAGACACGACAGAAGGCGGGTTGAAATCAGCAGATCCTAGAAAAGCCCGCAAACAGATGAAGCATTTCAAAGCCGATGGTACAGAGCGCTTAGTCACCGACCCGATTACCCATCTGCCCATCAAAGTTCACGATTTTACCGATCGAGAGCTCAAGAGCACTGCAAAGAACCCATCACCGCCCGGCTCAGATCCTCGGACAGCGACCGGCACTAATGCTATTAACAAAAGTGACGAGCAATTGCAAGCCGAAAGCTATGAATCGCAAGAAGCCCATGCAGGCATGGAGGTCTTGTTTCCCCCTCCGTCCTTTGATCGGACGCGAGATGAGATTTCTACAGTCCACATGCATGCTGTGACTATTGGCGTGGGTGCTGCCGCTGTCAGTTTAATGTTGGTTAATGCCTTGTTCTGGCCAACGCGTCATTCCACAGGTTGGACAAGGCAGCTGCTCAAGCTCGTTGAGCTCAGTACAATGGCAACAGTGTCTGGAGCCATTATCCTATTCATGCGCCAATGGTCAGAGAACAAGATTAAGAATGTATGGGACGTGGAAGTTTGGAGAGCAGAGCGGGAACGCGGTCAAGAATTGGCCAAAACCCAGACAGCCGAAAGCACTCAATGGCTGAACTCACTCTTTGCATCAGTATGGCCATTAATTAATCCCGATCTATTCACGAGCATCTCCGATACGCTTGAGGTGAGTACCAAAATACACATGGCGATTTCTCAAACTAACAGTCGCAGGATGTAATGCAAGCTTCTCTTCCTAGTATGGTTCGTATGGTCGCAGTCGAAGATATTGGTCAGGGTAGCGAGGCTCTTCGTATTCTCGGTGTTCGCTGGCTACCAACGGGAGCAGCAGCTCGATCAGTGGGCGCTGATGGAAATCTTAAATCTTCAGATGAAGAGAAGGACGACCGTACTGTGCCAGACGATGGAGAAGGCGAAAATGGAACGACAGGCCACGATACCATGGAGGCTGAAGATGGCGACTTTGTCAACTTGGAAATCGCATTCACGTACAGACCCTCGACAGGACAAGGTGTCAAGACACGCGCAAAGCACGCACATTTGCTGCTGGCTTTCTACCTTCCGGGAAACGTCAAGCTACGTAAGTTGAGTCATTACGCACTTTTGTAATTCACTAACATGGTAAAGCTGTCTGGGTTGACCTTGCGGGTATGGTTGGCGTTATGCGCTTTCGTCTACAGCTATGCCCAGATCCTCCATTCTTTTCTATTTGCACCATGGCCTTCATGGGCCAGCCGAAAGTGACTCTGTCTTGCGTCCCGCTCATCAAAAAGGGACCTAATCTTATGGACGTCCCTCTAATCTCGAAATTCGTTCAGTCATCCATGGACGCCGCCCTAGCCGAATATGTCGCGCCTAAGTCTTTGACACTGGATCTCAAAGACATGATGATGGGAGACGACTTCAAGAAAGATACGGTCGCACAGGGCGTGATCATGGTGCACGTCAAACATGCTTTCGACTTCAAGGAGGGAGACACAAAGATTGGTCCCTGGGGTGGTTCCGCGGATCCTTATGTCAGTGTCGGCTGGGCCAAATTTGGCAAGCCGCTCTGGTCCACACGTGTCTTGAAATCGAACATGGAGCCCCATTGGGATGAGTGGTGCTTTGTTTGTGTCACTCGGGACGAGCTGAATGTTGACGAAAAACTGAGACTTCAACTATGGGACTCCGATCGCATGACCGCCGACGACGACCTCGGACGCATTGAGCTGAATCTCAAAGACATAATGAAGAGTAATAAGACCAATGGCAGAATGCACGATCGCGAAGACGGCTTCCATGCTCTAAAGGCTGGGCAAGGTATGCCTGGAAAACTGAGCTGGAGTGTCGGCTACTTTTCGAAAACTAGAATTACCGACGACCAGCTGACTATGCAAGAAGAGGACCCGGACGTGAACTCTATACAACAGTTGAAAGAAAAGGTATATAAGGAAGCGGAGGGCAAGCTTCGGGAGGCAAGCGAGGATCACCGAAATGAGGTGGAACAGCAGAAGGCTGAAGATTTCAAAAGCCGCCAAGATGAACTCATCATTGCCTCCCCACCTTCTGAAGACTATCCGTCCGGTATCCTTAGCATCCAGATCCACCAGATTACCGGATTGGAGCTGGAAACTTTGAACAAGCACAAAGTTTCGGCGGAGGCTACTGACGAGGAAGAAGAGGGTGATGACCTCCCTTCGGCATATTGCAACATCATCCTCAACCACAAGAAAGTCTTCAAAACCCGGACCAAGCCAAAGAACTCGAAGCCCTTTTTCAACGCTGGATGCGAACGCTTCATTCGAGATGTGCGTAATACTGAAGTGCATATTGCCGTCCGCGATGCTCGCGTCCATGAAGATGATGCTTTGCTAGGCATTGTCTATCTCCCATTGGAGAGAGTGTTCAAAGAGCGCAGTCAGATTAACTCAATCTTCCCGCTTTCTGGGGGAAATGGCTATGGGCGCATGCGCGTCTCTATGGTTTTCCGAAGTGTGCAAGTCCAACTTCCCCGGGAACTACGTGGCTGGGATTATGGAACTGTGGATATCAAACCCTATGTCAAGGGTGTCGATGTTCCTAGCGACATAAGTCCTCTCAGGCTCAAGGTTCGCACTCCACTGGACCGTGGAAAGTTGCATTCACGCGGGCGTAAAGGTAACGTCCACTCAGAAGATGGCCACCCTGTTTGGACTACAAGGAAAAGCCGGCCGATTCGCTTGCCCGTACGCGCACGCTACTGTGCACCATTGATTTTCGAGTTCAGACAGGATGCCACGTTGAGAGATCGCACACATGCGTTTTGCATCTTCTGGCTCAAGGACATTCCAGACAACGAGGAGCAAACGAAACGTCTTACTATCTGGAAAGGCGATTTGAAACGCGCAGAAGGCAACGTACTCGACTCGTATGGTGAAAAGGTAGGCGAGATCGAGGTCACACTGACAATGTGGTCTGGTCTATCTGGATATCATGAGAAGCTGGCAAAGGGTGACAAGCATCTTACCAACGTTATGGAAGTGTTGGACACTTGTAATGACCAAGAATGGACCAACTGGGAGGAATCGGACGGCTCGGAGAAACCTGGTATCAACGACAACAAGGATACTGAAGAAGACAGCTCCGACAGCTCCGACAGCTCCGACTCATCTGATGACGAAGATGATGGACACGAGGAAGACACCAAAGATGACAGTGGTAACATGACGCCCGATTTTCTTAAAAAGCACAGGAAAACCGATTCAAAGATGAGTGAAGACCGCGGCAGGGGCCCAATTACACAATTGAAGGAGTATAAAGCATCTCACAAGACGTTGCATCGCAAGAACAGAGGAATCATGCAATGGAAGGGGCCGCGGACGCTTGCCTGGATGAAGCACGTGGGCGATAGGGGAAAGAGGAAGGTGGAACACATCTTCCACCATCACGAAAGAAACGGAGACGAGATTGAGACAGAGGTCTAAACCATTTCATTAGCATAGCGGTGTGCGTTTGGCGTTATCTTCCCGGTTGGGAAATGTAACATTAATGTAGTTTGATTTCGGTTCAGTTACAATGAATAATTACTGAAAGCTATTCTCCGCCCACTCAAGTACTTCTGTGAAGTCCCTGACCCAGAAAACACCACTCCCTTTATGCTGCCCCCACTCTCTCAACTTTGGACATGGTACTCCCAGTCTCGTGAGCGCATCAGCAAGCGTCTTCTGCGAGCTTCCCATGGGACCATCGCGGATGCAGATACCGAGGTCTGCACCTAGCAGACACTCGATATCCGTCCAACTATCACCAATGTACACCTTGAGCCCGTTTACCTCCTTAATCTGTTCAAAAATTTGCAGTTTGTCACCACTGGATACAATGGGGTCCGGTTCTCCCGAAGCTGCAGCAACGATGCGACCAGACGAGGGCACCCCGGCGGATATACCGTCGAGCTCGTTGGACAGGATAGCGTTCGATGCTACGCTGATGTTGGATGTGGCAAGGCTGGAATGAATGAAATGGCAAGACCAGTTCACACTCAGAATGGCAAAAGCGTCACCCTCACGTGACTGGATGTGCTTGAAGAATGAAGGGAAACCAGTGCGAAGTTGCACCTGGCCTGATTCTACGACCCGACTGGCTCCTAATTCGATGCCTCGACGGGTGAGATTAGTGAATATATCGGATGAATGTACGCGGTCAAGACTGCGTTGCTCTACTTCTTTGAGTTTGGCTAGGAGCTGTTTTTCCTCGACTATTGTTGTTGGGAGAGCGCCGGTTGGAACGAGCTTTTTCATTGTGGCGGTGTAGTCTTCCATGTATGCCTGTGAGACGGATTTCCAGTGGTCCACGGTGGGGAAGTCGGGTTTTTCTGCTGCAGATATACTGACGAGGGCGTCCAGAGTGTCTTTTTTGGTGATTGTGCCGTCCCAGTCGAGGATCCAATGTATGGGCTGGTCTTTTTTGAAGAGGGGTTTTGTGGACATGGCGGCTGCTTTTGGAAGGCGTAACAACTTGTGAGGGCTATGTAGATAGTAATGGGGAGTATTTGGAGAGCATAGTTGGCGAGCCGCTGTGTAAAAAGTCATGTGACAGTACACTCTGAAACTCGCTCGCAATGCTGCCGGGATTGACGTTCCGACGTCAATGTCAGAGTACTAGACAGCCGAGAAGCAATCGCAGGTACATTTGTAGGAATTATTAACGGTCCCTGGTAGTAACTGTGATGCTCAGAAAAACAGGCTATCCGAACCGACAGCGTCACCGTCCAGCCGGAGCTCTGGAGGCTGTGATTGCACGAGCAGCCGGAGAAAATGGCGCACGCGTCACGACACCACTACGAACAGGTAACTTTTAGCGGACAGACGCGCCGACTTGATATCCATGGCCAAACCTCCGTTCACTCTCTCTCTGTAATTGTGTCTGCGCGCTCGTCGCCAGACTTCCCCTCAGCATGGTTTTGGCCACGTCCAGCCCAGCGTGCCTCCCGTGGTCACGAGCCAATGGCAGCGGCGCTATAGCGGTGACCCGCACGCAACCGAGGCGCTCGTTGGTCGCGTTCCTCTAAAGGCATCTTGAGGCGATGGCACCAGTTGTTCTTACGGAGGCTATCTCCTAAGTACAGTTGGAGGCGATTCACGGCACAGCAGTCAAACCACCGAGGAATAAGAAGTCTGCTTGGTCCGCTCTTTTCTTTTGCCCACAAACCCATTTGTTGCTTCCTCGACCCGTCCCAGGACATACTTCCCCACTACCCCACGTTCACACATACATCATTCACCATGGCTCCAGGCGCAGTGCAGAACGACACGACCAGTGCAAACAGTAATGGCACCGTCTTGAAGCCAACTGCCCGTTCCTTTCATCCTACCGGCACACCAGACCCCGCCAAGTACCACTCTGCGTCGTCACAGGCGGCCATCAAGTCCGAGTCCGACTTCGCAGCTCACAACTACCACCCTCTGCCCATCGGTATGTATTCGTGAGCCACAGACGATGTATCCTGAGCTGACCAAGTCCAGTATTTGCCAGAGCGAGTGGCTGCAGCGTCTGGGATCCTGAGGGCAAGCATTATCTCGACTTCCTCTCTGCATACAGCGCCGTCAACCAGGGTCACTGCCACCCGGAACTCGTCAAGGCCTTGACTGAGCAAGCATCGCGCTTGACGCTCAGCAGCCGCGCATTCTACAATGATGTCTTCCCCCGCTTTGCCGAGTATGCGACGAAACTGTTTGGCTTTGACATGATCCTACCTATGAACACAGGCGCCGAAGCCGTCGAGACAGCTGTTAAGATTGCCCGCAAATGGGGATACAAGGTCAAGGGTATTCCACAGAACGAGGCGTTGGTCTTCTCTGTGCAGGAAAACTTCCACGGTCGGACAGTGCGTATCGTTGGGTCCCTACACACCGCTTCAGCTAACGAAAGGTCAGTTTGCCGCTATTACCATGTCCACGGACCCCGAGTCTCGTGAGAACTATGGACCATACCTTCCTGGAATCGGAAGTGTCTGCCCTGTCACAGGCAAGCCGATTCGTTACAACAATGTCGACGATGTTCGTGAGACATTAGAGAAGCATGGAAAGAACACTGCTGCTTTCCTCGTCGAGCCCATCCAGGGCGAGGCCGGTATCGTGGTTCCAGATGACAGCTATCTGCGCGAAGTAAGGGCGCTTTGCGACAAGCACAACGTGCTTCTCATCTGCGATGAAATCCAGACGGGCATTGCGCGAACAGGCAAGATGCTCTGCCATGAGTGGAGTGGCATTAAGCCTGACTTGGTCCTTCTTGGCAAGGCTATTTCTGGCGGCATGTACCCTGTCTCGTGTGTTCTAGGTTCCAAGGAAGTTATGCTTACTATTGAGCCTGGTACCCACGGTTCAACCTATGGCGGTAATCCTCTCGGCTCCGCTGTCGCGATCCGGGCTCTTGAGCTCATCGAAGAAGAAAACATGATCGAGCGCGCAGAGACACTTGGTAACAAGCTCCGTCAAGGGCTTCAAGACATCAACAACCCGATGATCAAGACGATTCGGGGCAAGGGCTTATTAAACGCCATCGTCATCGATGAGAGTAGGACGAACGGACACAGCGCTTGGGATCTCTGCATGCTCTTCAAAGAGAAGGGACTATTGGTAGGAAGAGCCCTCAAGATTATGCACGTAAAAGAGGTTGACGGTACTGACACTGATGGACAGGCGAAACCCACACACCAGAACATTATCCGCCTTGCCCCACCGTTGATCATCACTGAACAAGAGATTGAGTCGGCCCTGTCAATCATCAAGGAGGCCATGGAGGAGCTGCCCACACTGAAGGGCAAAATGGAGGAATAGGTTTCCAGATGTCCGGTTGAGCCGGATACGAGCATTTACAGGGGAGTGAAGTAGTTAAAAGTGCGGCACCAAAGTTTAGGATACCCTTGGTGGAAGTTTGTGCGAGTGTAGTTGTTACAGTTTGTTGTACGCGAGCGCATACGTTGTATGTTTGGGTGTTTTTGAACCTAGTCACCATAGATGGTTGGGACTGAAACGGCTACTAGACGACATTGGGCAGTGACAGATTACAGCTAGCTTGCGGGTCATCGCCCGTTCGGGATTTATTCTTCAACCGAACTCTGTGCTTTAGCGATGTTGAGAAAAATGGGCCAAATCGCGACCATGATGGCCTTCGCTTGACCGGAAATAGAGGAGCCAGCCGTGTTGTCCCACGTCATACAGGGCAGCAGGCAGCGGTCAAGCACGCCCATGTCCATGTCGATGCCTACCTAATTTGGTTTGCATGCGGCTTACATAGACTTTGCATGATCTCTGTCGTTGGCTCCTGAAACAATTGGTCGGGTCTTTCTAAGTTTCCGTACATCTTTTTTTCAACGACATGCAGACACCGGACTTGGGCAACCTCCGTCCGAGTCGATGGTGAACCGTTTTCTAGAAAAGCCAACATCACCACTGGCGATTGGAGCCTCATGACCCATGTTACACACGCGGCGCCATGGCCAAGGAAGGACTGCTCGTTAGGACTGAGGGCGGGACGATACTTCCAGATGCAGACGGAATATAGGGGTCTTTGCGGGGCGGAGGCGCGTCTGCGACGAGTACTAGAAATGTACAAGGATATTCGGAACCACCCACACTGCGGGGATGACATGTATTCTTATTGTGCATACACATGTATGAACCTAGTACGTTTGTACGGGACATGAACCACTTACAGGCGGCTTCAGTAGATGATGGGGCATCGTTGTCAATTAAGACTATCGGCATCTCGGCGTTGGAGCCTTGGTAGGCATACTGCGACGGCTCCACCCAAAGGCGGTGGCGTCGCATCCTTGTTACCGGTCGATTCTAGCTTCGCGGAAAACAAAATATGCGAAAAGAAACTTCCGTGTCATGGCCAAAGGAAACTGCCCAGAGGACACACGAAGGAAGCAGACGAGACTGGTGCGCATGGACAAGGCGTTCACTCTGTCGTGGCACAGTGTCGAAAAAGCCAGCTCTCCGCGGACGCGAGGGCATATTGCGAGTGTTAATACGCAGCACTTCGGTTCGTCGGACAAGTTCAGACACCGAGCAGGCGTCGTATATTCTCTGATGCTTAGCAACCACCAGATCATGCAGCAGCGGACCTCGCCGCTCATTGGCGACTGCTAACTCCGTTTAAGGCCATACGCTAGTTGTGGAGCGCGGGCTCTGATTTCATGACTACTATGCCCGGAGCCCTTTATAGACTAGGCGTGACCTTGCGCTTGCAATCATGCCGTCTCGCGACTCCTCGTAGTCGTCGCTTTTTCCTCTCCAACTGTCAACCAGCCTTTTATACATCCCCTGGCACACGTCAACCATACATTTGGCCGATTACTACGCAAATCATCCGTCTTACGAGGCCCCACAACGCGATCTGCCTCCCGTCGCCGCAACGGAATCCGAGATTGGGCCGGCATTTGCGTCGACATGGCCAAATCCCAATCATCGTCGTCTCTAGACGAGACGGAAAAAGAAAAGGTTTTAGGCCTGGCAGATCCTCAAGCCGCAGCAGAAAATCCCACAGAGTATGAGCCAATACGGACAGAGCCTAGCGAAAAGGCAATTGAGAGTAATGGCGACGGTCATGGACCAAGAGGCAGCCTTTCCAGGTTACAGTCGAGTACCAGTGCTTACTCGGAAGCCAGCACCACAGAGTCCAACGTCACAAAATCCACACAAATGAAGAAGCCCTTTTACAAACGCCTGAACGTGCTCAAGAACAACCCGCCGCCTGTACCCAAAGAGCGTACCGTGAGCCCGGAATACACTGCTGGATTGCTCAGCAAACTCACATGGCAATGGATGCAACCGATTATGCGAGTGGGCTACAAGCGGCCGCTAGAAAAGAACGATATATGGGAAGTTAATCCGGACCGGAGCGCAGATGTCATGGCAGCCAAGTTGGAAGCGGCCTTTAACAGGCGGCGAGAACAAGGCGGCGAGAAGCCTCTGCTGGGTGCCATGTTCGACACGTTCAAGTGGGAGTTTATCATTGGCGGTCTATGCCAGCTTTCGGCATCCGTCATACAAGCAATTGCTCCCTTTGTACTGCGCTATCTCATCAGCTTTGCCGTCAAGGCATATGTTGCACAACGAACGGGCACTCCTGGACCACCTATCGGCGAAGGTATTGGCCTGGTCATTGCAATCACCGTGATGCAGTTCTTGCAGAGTTTGGCTACTAACCATTTCATGTACCGCGGTATGATGATTGGTGGAGAAGCTAGAGGCGTTTTGATTGCCCTCATTTTCAACAAGGCTATGAAGCTATCGGGCAGAGCAAAGGCCGGTGGCCAGGCTGCTCTCGAGGCACCGCCGCCAGACTTGCAACCGGGAAGTGAAGCGCAGCTGAAATGGTATAAGAAGGTACTCAAGAAGAAGGAAAAGAAACAGGGTCCCAAGGCGAATGCAGGTGTGGCGGGTGACGGTGAGGGCTGGGGCAATGGACGAATTGTCAATCTCATGTCTACCGACACGTACCGTATTGACCAAGCTAGCGGCTTCTTCCACATGATCTGGACTGCTCCCATCGGTATTCTGATTACGACGGCTCTGCTTCTCGTTAATCTCACGTACAGTGCGCTACCCGGTCTCGGTCTCATTCTCATTGCCATGCCCCTGCTTGGTCGCGCAGTCAAGACTCTGTTCCGTCGAAGAGTTGTCATCAACAAGATTACCGATCAGCGTGTGAGCTTGACGCAAGAAATTCTCCAAGGTGTGCGGTTCGTCAAGTACTTTGGCTGGGAAACGAGCTTCCTAGAGCGCATCCAGGCGATTCGAAAGAAGGAGATTCACGGCATTCAAATCCTGCTTACCATTCGAAATGCCGTTCTTGCCGTGGGAATGTCGATGCCGGTCTTCGCCTCGATGATTTCCTTCATCACGTATTCTCAGTTCAACAGCAATCTCGATCCCGCGCCAATCTTCTCCTCGCTAGCTCTCTTCAACTCGATGCGTATCCCTCTCAACTTCCTCCCGCTAGTTATTGGCCAGGTCATTGATGCAAATGCCTCTGTCAAGCGTATCCAGGAATTCCTTCTTGCCGAAGAGGCGGAAGAGAGCGGCCGCTGGGACTACGATGCCAAGGATGCCGTGGTACTTAGGGATGCGGATTTCACCTGGGAGCGCCACCCAACTCAAGAAGCTGAAGACGGACCTGGTAAGAAGGGCGAGACGAAAAAGGAGAAGAAGGCAGCTGCAGAGGCGATGCGGGCGAGTGGAGCCACGACACCTTCGGACGTAACGGCTGTGGAAGAGGAGGAAAAGCCGTTTGAAATCAAAGGACTCAATCTTACGTTTGGACGAAACGAGTTGGTCGCCATTATTGGTGGCGTCGGCTCAGGTAAGAGTTCATTGCTCGCAGCCCTCGCAGGTGACATGCGCAAGACAAACGGCGAAGTCATTTTCGGAGCCTCGCGTGCTTTTTGCCCGCAGTACGCCTGGATCCAGAACGCAACGGTACGGGAGAACATCATCTTTGGCAAGGAATTCAACCGCAAGTGGTACGACCAGGTGGTAGATGCTTGTGCGCTTCGTCCGGATCTCGACATGCTGCCTCACAACGATGCAACGGAGATTGGTGAGCGTGGTATTACTGTCTCGGGTGGCCAGAAGCAGCGTATGAACATCGCGCGTGCAATCTACTTTAACGCGGATATCATTCTCATGGACGACCCGCTGAGTGCCGTTGATGCCCACGTAGGCCGGCACATCATGGATAATGCTATTTGCGGACTGCTCAAAGACAAGTGCCGAATCCTAGCTACTCACCAGCTACACGTACTAAGCCGCTGCGATCGCATCATCTGGGTTGACCAAGGCCGAGTCAAAGCGGTAGACACCTTTGACAATCTCATGGCACAAAATGCAGACTTTATCCAAGTCATGAGCACAACTGCCAAGGAAGAAGAGAAAGAAGAGGGGGAGGAGGAAGCAGAGGATGGCGAGGTAGCAGCCGAAGTCAAGAGCGTCAAGAAACAGAAAAAGTCAAAGAAGCAAGCGGCGCTCATGCAGCAGGAAGAACGCGCGACCAAGAGTGTCAGCTGGCAAGTGTGGATCGAATACATCAAAGCGGGCGGCGGCATCTGGGTCGGTCCCCTCATCTTCCTCCTGCTCGTCCTCTCGCAAGGCGCAAACATTGTCACTTCGCTCTGGCTCTCGTACTGGACGTCTGACAAGTTTGGATACTCGCAGGGCGCCTACATTGGCGCCTACGCGGCCTTTGGCTTCAGCCAAGCCCTCTTCATGTTCTTCTTCTCGTTTGCAGTCTCGATTTTCGGAACGCGAGCGGGAAAAGTCATGTTGCATCGGGCAATTACGCGCGTGTTGCGGGCGCCCATGTCCTTCTTCGACACGACGCCTTTGGGGCGCATTACGAATCGGTTTAGCAAGGATATCGATGTTATGGATAATACCATTACGGATTCGATTCGTATGTATTTTTTGACGCTGGCTATGATCATCTCGTAAGTTTTCTGGGTGTGCCCCCTTCAAGTGAAGGTTCTTTTTTGTTTGAGCTAACGGGGGATATTGCAGTGTTTTTATTCTCATCATCTCGTACTACTATTACTATGCGATTGCGCTAGGACCGCTGTTCTTGCTGTTCATGTTTTCGGCAGCGTTTTACCGGTCTTCGGCTCGCGAGGTCAAGAGGCATGAAGCTGTTCTGCGCAGTACGGTCTTCTCACGGTTTGGTGAGGCTGTAATGGGAACGCCGACGATTCGTGCCTATGGGCTTCAAGCCCAGTTTTCCAAATCGGTCCGAGATGCGGTTGACGACATGAACAGCGCATACTATCTCACGTTTGCGAATCAGCGATGGCTGAGTGTGCGTCTGGACGTTGTTGGTATTGCACTGGTCTTCACGACGGGTATCTTGGTTGTGACTAGCCGCTTCTCTGTTGATCCCAGCATTGCTGGTTTGGTGCTTTCGTACATTCTTACCATTGTGCAGATGATTCAGTTTACTGTTCGTCAGCTTGCAGAGGTAGAGAACAACATGAACTCGACGGAACGTATTCATCACTATGGAAGCCAATTAGAGGAAGAAGCGCCCCTGCACATGGGCCAGGTGCGACCAACGTGGCCGGAGCATGGCGAGATTGTGTTTGACAAGGTCGAGATGCGGTATCGCGATGGACTTCCCTTGGTTCTCAAGGGGCTGAGCATGCACGTACGCGCGGGCGAGCGGATTGGAGTCGTGGGGCGCACGGGAGCGGGCAAGTCGTCCATCATGTCAGCACTTTTCCGATTGCAGGAGTTGTCTGGGGGATCGATTGTTGTTGATGGCGTAGACATTGCCAAGATTGGTCTTCACGACCTGCGGTCCAAGTTGGCGATTATCCCCCAGGACCCAACGCTGTTCAAGGGAACGATCCGATCGAACCTGGATCCTTTCCACGAGCATTCCGATCTGGAGCTCTGGTCTGCGCTGCGACAGGCCGATCTCGTGTCGACGGAGCAGGCCATGGATGACCACTCTGGGCGAATTCATCTCGACAGTGTGGTTGAGGAGGAAGGACTCAACTTTTCGCTGGGGCAGCGGCAGCTCATGGCTCTAGCGCGTGCGCTGGTTCGCAACTCGCAAATCATTGTGTGTGACGAAGCGACTAGTTCGGTGGACTTTGAGACTGACGCGAAGATTCAACAAACGGTAAGCAAGAAGCAAACGTCATTGTTGGTGACGTTGGGACACCAGGCTAACGGTTGTGTGTGCGTGCGCAGATTGTGGAGGGGTTCAAGGGCAAGACACTGTTGTGCATTGCTCACAGGTTGAAGACGAGTAAGTTTGACGTGTGCAGGGTAGAAAGCTAGGATAAAGGGAGCTGAGACTGACGTGGTGGCCTAGTCATCAATTACGACCGCATTTGCGTCATGGACGCAGGGCAGATTGCGGAGCTGGATTCGCCACTGCGCTTGTACGACCAGGGCGGCATTTTCAAGGGCATGTGCGAGCGATCTGGTATCAAGAGAGAGGAAATCGCAGGTGCAGGTGCATGATAATAGATATGAACCAAGGAAAGGGAAAAAATAGAGGCAGCGGATATAGGCGCGTGATTGGCTGGGGGCGGGAAAGCGGCCTAAAAGGGTAGACTAAGGATGCAGCTGGGATTGCTAGCAAGGCTGCACACGCACAGTGATGGATAGGCGTGGGCATTGGCGTTGGCGTTTGGGGCGGCATTTTTTGGGAGGGGGGCTTGGGTAGCATGACAAAACGGCCTGTTGTTTTGGTTTGAGGGCGGAGAAGAAGAGAGAAAAAAGGCAGAGAGTGAGAGGGAGAGGGAGAGGGAAGGAGCGGGAGGGAGAGACGGCAGGTGAGGGGCGGAAGGCACGACACAGACAGCGGTTTCTAGATGTATGCAATGCAAATACCGTGATCATCATGAGACAAGAACAACTGGGGTGGTGGAGACGGATGGGCGAGTGCGAGAAGGTGCCACGGCCAGCGTAGTGGGAGATGGAACAGGCCCAGGCGGGGCTGGCCAGACGAGTGCGACACGGGGAGAGCGGTTTGGGGGCGTGGTGGGTGGCGAGTTTATACTGACTACTTAGTTAGGTGGGTGTTAGTGGTAGAGACGGACAAGTGCGATGGATAGCATCATGGTTCCAGGCTACTCTGGGGACGGAGCAGAGAGAGAAAGAGAGCGAGAGAGAGCGAGAAGGCGCACAGAGAGACAGCAGTTTGCATTAGCGGGCTGGTGGGCTGGTGCACAGGCCTGGCGGAACCCTCAATCTGGCACCACGCCATGGTTTCCATGCATTTGCATTCTCAGCGTTATCTAATCTCTCGCCCGCCCCGGCCGCCGTTGAAGGAGGAGGAGTAGTATACTCGGTACATACGTATCTCTGACCATCCATCTACCTAGGTACATGTGTATAGACCCAACTAAGGCACGTCTTTGTCTCTACGTATGCATGCAAGCGGCTATCGGCACCCATGCACGTCTTGGATCATTTTCCCACTGCTTTGGGCAGGCCAAAAGCTTCTTTTTGCGCCTTGTCTGCGTGCCCTCGCCGCCGTGCCGCTCGAGAGGTCTGGGCCAGTGGGCGGTGGGCAGATGGCGCGCCCCGCCAGAAAGGCGCCATGTGGTGGTGGCTATGGACTATGGACGATTTGGATAGCTGGGGAGCTTGTCCAACGCTGGTGCGGGTTCGGGTTTGCATGAGAAAGAGGCAGAGGCAGAGGCAGAGACAGACAAGCAAAGCGCCCAAGCCTCTCGGCCAGGCGCTCCGCGTGCATCAAGCCGCACAGAGATTGGCCGGTCGCGCTATCCGCTCGGGCCTCGCTTGCACTTTTTGCTCAACGCCAAGCCAGAGCCAAACCCAAACCCCAGCTGCGCCGCACCCTCGCTGCTTGTACTGCACCACCAAAGCGGCCCTACAGCGGCCACCATCCAAACCACACGGCACACGCTCACGCGACGACAAGGGCAATGGCAACGCCTTGGACGTGGGCGTGGCCATGGGCGTGGGCGTGTGCGTCTTGTTTTGCTTGGGCCCAGCTAACCATCATCTGCGAGGCGGCGCCGTGGTTGAGCGAGGGCGAGGAGAAAACGCGGGTGAAGATCAGGGACGGGCAAACCAAACGCCCACCTGCAGTTTGCTTTCCCTCGTCAACTAATCGACTCAGACGTGCCTTGATGGCAGGGACATGGCTCCGAACGGCCTAGCGGGCCCGTATGATTGCCCCCAAGTCTGGAATCCCCGTTCACACGGGCCTTGTTCAGCCACTGGGGGGGGGGACACTGCTCCTTCATATCTTCTCGCGCACTGCCGCCCGCCCGTGACGCTCCTTGCACACAGGTCTCGCTCTCTCCACTGCCATCGAGCCCTTTCACTCATCCAGCCGCGCCCCAGTCCTTTGCAGCTTCAAAGTGCCCCTAGACGGACCTGCTGCTTCCACAACTGCATCGCCGCTCCCTCACTGTCCGCCGCCGCTCGTCTCACATCCGCTCTACTTGCCTACTCGCCTGTTCTTAACCCCCTACCTTGGCCCACTAACACACGACGCCGCCTCGTCACCGTGTCCGGCCCATGCTGCGCCTGCTGTGAAGCTTCCCCTCCCTCTCTCTCTCCTCTCCCTCGCGCCGCCGCAAGTAGTCGCCCCGCCGCTGTCCATTGCTTGTCGCCTCCACCTTTGTGCTACTCCATCCAACCCCCTGACGCCGCAATGGCTGCCAACGAGAAGAACGAGCCCGTCACCTTCGGCGCCAGCATCGAGCGCTCCTCCAGCCCCGCCATGCCCGCCGCCACACAGCAGCTGCTGCGCTCGCCGCATTCGCAAGATTCAACCATGACCACCGCCACTGCTACTGCCGACGCCGACCAGGCCAAGAAGGAGTGGACTGCCGATGCCTCCAACCCCTACTCGGCCTTTTACAAGCACCCAGAGGCCCTGCGCGAGACGCGCCCCTCCATCAATGACAGCATTCCCCCCTCAAAGGCACACCTTGGTGTCACCGAACACGATCTCGAAGGCGCCGTGCCCCTGTCGGTAGCCTCGACACAACAACAATCCAAGTCGTCTGTCGACGGTCGCGTCAAGGAGTGCACCATGTGGCCTACACGACAGGCGGTGCTCGAGAAGCGCAAGTCGTACCAGCGCAAGCGCGGCTGCGCCTTTTTCCGCAATCTGACCAACAAGCAACGGCTGTGGGCCAAGATTGTCATTGCTCTCCTCGTCATTGCTGCCGCCGTCGGCCTGGGCGTCGGTATCTCGCGAGCTGTTGGCGGTGGTGTATGGGCTGGCAATGGCCAGAGCAAGCAGATACCACACAACTGAGCTTCACGACCCATATATCACCCACCAGATATGCCATGGTGCGTCGGCTTCGGCGTCCACTGCACCCGTGTGCAACTGCCAACTCCCTCGGTCAGAGCTGCTTTCACGTCTCTTCGCTCACACTCACGACCTTGTCATGCTTCCTCTTCCTCTTCACAAAAACCTCTTTTTTCTTCTGGAATATCCTTTGCATCTATCATATTGTTTCTTATGGTAGAGTGCACATCACTTGATCATGTCTGCGCTTTTTCATCCCGGCTTGGAGCCTGCCCTTTTTCGGCGGATTCGGCTTTTCTCTCGGAGCGGAGTTTTTTTTTTCTATATTTGGGGGGGGGCGTACACATTGGTGTTCTTTCGTTGAATTGGTCGGCATTCTGTACCTTGCATTTGAAGCGGCGGAGTCCAATATTTGGGGCGTTTAGAAACATGTTTAGTCTGGCAAAAGACCTGTTGCCGGTTATATGCAATACGAATGAGCCGATTGAGCGACTACCTCCTCTCTATTGTCAAGAGAGGCTTTCAAAGTACCTGACGTTGGAAATCCTGTTGTGCTTTTTTTCTTGTTTGTCGTTTTGTTTTCTCGGTGCGATATTATTCCGAATATGCATCCCCTCCCGAGCCGACCCGCCTGTCATCGAAGACTCACACGAACCTATCATGTGTTTTTATGCAGAAGGGGGGTGTGCGGCGGGATTACATACGCCCCCGCTTAGTCGAGCCCGCCACAAAACAACCATACATGTGGGAGGATAGGGTAGGGTAGGGCATGTATACAATACATCAACGTGTCACTTGACTGTCTTGCAACAATAACCCCACTCTTCCTACTTCATCTCTTCTCTACATCCACATACTACTACTACACATCTTTCACACACACACACACCCTTCTACCCATTGCTCACACGGCACTCTCATCATCATCAATGTTATCAAAAAAAAACCCCCCATACTAGTTTATTTATTTATTCATCTATACATTTACGTTTAACATGTATACCTAATGCTTACATGAACCCAGGACCCCTCCGTCCCAAGCTCCTCCCTTGCAACGCCCTAGCCGCATCGTCATTCGGCTGCGCATTTCCAAATCCACACCCGCCATCTCGCTCCTGCGCTACCACCGGTCCCGCACACTTGCCGCTCTTGAACCCGCAGCAGCTGGATGAGCAGTCGGCGTCGGATGTACACGCGCCCGTGATGAATTGTGTGCCTTTAGCTTGAGTCGGGGCTGCTGCTGCTGGTGCTGCTTCTTCGCCTACCATGGTTTGTCCGGATGCCGGTGCTTGCGGTTGCCGTTGCGGTGGTTGAGTGCCGCCCGCGGCTTTGTTACCGCCGTTCAACGCATTGTTGTTTGGTTGTGCGTCGCCGAAGCCACAGCCTTCGCCCCGCTCGTTGGCTACGAAGGGTGCGGCGCATTTGCCGGATGTGAAGCCGCAGCAGCCGGATGCGCAGGCGGCGTCGGAGGTACAGGCTCCCGTGATGAATTGCGTGCCTTGGGCTGAGGTGTAGAGGGAGACTTTGGGTTGATGGTGTTAGTTTGGGAGGGGGGTGGAGTGTGATGGGTAGAAGGCGGAGGGTGACATACGGGAGAGGAGAGTGAGGAGTTTAAAAATGGGTGCCATTTTTTTTTGATATTATTTCTTCCAATGTCGAGACTGATGTGAATGAAACCTTGTGTTTTTTTCTTCTTCGCCTGGAAAAAGTAAATAGTATATTATAATAAGAATTGTAACTCGCAGAATGCTCGTGAAATGGTGCCTCAGTCGTACCTTCCCTCCTCCCCTCCCCCTTTTATACGTCCCCTCTTCCCTTCCCTTCCTCCCTCTCTCTCATTTTCCCCACTTAAAAGAGCCTACAACTTCGCCACCTCCTCCCGTAAGAAATTCCAATGCCTAAGCACCTCCCCGGACCATACAAACCCAGCACCACGATACCCACCTTCCCCCTCCAACACACAAACTGCCCCAGGCCCCTTGACTTATCCTAAGGCAAAACTTCTCCCCCTCCGCGCGCTAACTTCCGACGCCTTTGTTTCGCGCCAAAGGGTGGGCTTTTCTTGGTACGGAAAGAGCCCTTTTTTTTGTATGTGTACGAATTAGATGGGGGGGGAGGGGGAGGCGCGGTTGCTTGCGAGGCAACGAGGGCATGGGCAAGGGAAGAAAGGTGGTAAGACGGTGTGTGTTTTGTGCATTCTAGGAAACATTATGCGTTTTGGAGATCGACCTTTGTAACGGTGTGTTTTTATTTTTATTTTTGGAGGGTGGGGGGCCGGGGGGATTTTCGAAAGGGGAAGGAAGGGAAGGGAAGGAAGAAGAGATGCGGTGGATGTTTGGGTATGTATGATGAAGTGCAAGAACGAAGAAAAAAAAAAGGCGATGTGATGGAAATCTTTTTTTTTATCTAGGTTGCGAAGTTCATTTAGATTTCTTCTCACTATTGTAAAGACTTATATGGATATACGCCTTCCAAGTGAACCCCCCTAAGTGTTGGCGATGAATAACACCATTTTTTTTTCGTAGTGGCCTCCGACTACATGATTCGCTGCGGCACAGCTATCGTCTGACAAAACAAGTGTCGCATATGGACGCTTGGGGGATGCGTGTTTCGAAATGTTGGCGTTACTACCCCCTCATTTTTTTTTGCCACCTCAGCGCTAAAGTCTTGCTTAGGTAAACCAGATCATCTAGGATTATGATGAGAATGGGGGGGTGGTAAGTACATTGGACTGAGTAAATGGGAAGAAGGGGAAGATGGTGGAAAAAAAGATAATACCAGATTGTGTATCTGTGAGCTGCGTTTGATACTGATTTCTTTTTTTTATTCTTATTTCTTGCAAATGGTACTACCACAGGGGTAACAGCGCAGCGTTGTATCCTAAGCAGCATCATTCATTCCGTATCTCGGCGATGGCGTTGCCGTTTTTATTTCATTTTTATTTTTTGTCGTGCTGGGTACGTGTGAACCTAGCGTGGATATTCTTATCTCACTAAAAAGCAGAAAAGTGGCTTTTATCTTGCTTTTATCCTTGCCGAGATAAAGTCAACGGCCGCTAAGAACAAAAAAAAAGGAAGCTACTGATATGAAGATGGGCAATGGATTTGCGCGGTGGATTGTTGTGGACATTGGTTTGGGTCGGAGAAGCGCTAATAGGGGTTAGTATCTGCAGTCGTGGTGTTGATGATCCACTGCGGGAGGATGGTGGGTTTGTGCATGTTGGATGAGTTGGCTAAGCTACACGTGGTGATTATGTGTATTGCGTTGCTTTTGGACGTGTGCAAGTACCGTTGGTGCAAAGTGAAGAGGGATCGTCGGTGCATGCAGAGTTGCAGAGCTATATGTCTCATCACTATTGCAGCACCTAGGAAGCGGCCCGGCTAGTGAGCAAACAAAACATCTTGATAGACTGCATGCCCATGCAGAACGAATCTCACCCCATGGTAGAATCATACACAACAACAACAACAACACAAGTGTATTGGTTTCGGTAGACTTGCCCTATTACCAATCTATTGTCAACAATGGACCAAACATGCTGAACCACTTGGTGACTCTGAAATGGAAAGCATAAATCATGCACGACTTATCTGACATGAACCCTGTTATCTCACATTTTGATAGACAGTACTTGGACATGACAGTTCTGAAAGCAACAAAACACTGAAAAGCAGGTGTAACGGGTATTTTGCAGTATATTTCAACTATCCTATCTCAATTGACTATTCCAAACAAGAACCGAAAAATGACAGAAACAAAGTAGAAAACTCCCAACGCCTATGGAAGTTTCGCCAGAGTCTCTCAAGTGAAAATTTGAAAAAAAGGGCCTTGGTCGAAGGCTACAGCGAGCGTCAATGGCACGTAGGGATGCCTGGATGGACGGCCCTTGGCTGGAGAATGGAACGAGCATTGTGCAAACAATAAAGGGTATAGAACCAGCTGGCAAGAAAGAGAAAAAGGAGACAGCTTTCAGTCAAAAAGTTTCAAAGAGAGAAGAAGAAGAAGAAGAAGAAGTCGTAGGCTCGAGTGATGCAATGGCCAAGTATCCAACAACGACAACATCAAAGTCGGCCAGAGTATCAACGTATCAAAGCATATCCCAGCAATCCATAACCCCTGAGTATCTCGGTATGTGGTGTTGTAAGGGGGTGGGGGAGGGGAATCGAGCCATTATCGAGAGGACCCAAAGGGGCGATTGTATTGTGTCTGGTTTGCGTTGGTGGTTGCGGCGGCGGATTGAAGGGCCTTCCAGGCCACTTCAGCGGCTTCTTCTCGGGATTGCTCGAGGTAGCGGTAGTCTCGCCATAGCGCGGCTCGGTATTCACGGCCATGGACAAAGACACTGCTTGACCAGGCTGTGCGTATGCCTGTGGTTGCCAGTGTGTCAGCAAAATACTGGTAGCAAAGTGGGCGATATTGACAAGGTCTTGTTGAGATAGGCATGGGGCTACAAACCTCGTGGGTCAGAGTAGTCCTGGAACTGGGGCTGGGCAATCTGGTTGGTAGCGCAGTAGTCTGCAACGTCTTTTTTAGCTAGGTTACACGGGCGAGAGCATCGGTCTGCGCACGCTGTAGCTTTTGCACGTAGCTCTCCTGTGTTGCCATTGTGCGAGATGGGGGGACTGCAAGCAAGAGACGAAGGCGTGATGCTTTTAACAAAGTTTGTGGTGGGGTAAAGGCTTCGCGAGTGGGGATCAGGGAAGATCAGGTATGTGTGAGCGAGGACTGGGTAGGAGCACGTTGCGTGGCCATTAGTTCTGCCTCTGTTTATAGTCGAGCAGTGCTTCGAGAGCCTCATTTTCGGTATCCTGTAGGAGCAAGAGGGCGGCTTTGCCACATAGACAGGTCAAAAAGGAAGCAGCCTGCAGCCGCCGCAACCCCCCCTATGTGCTTCGGAACAAAGCAGCTGGGTGATGGCATGCTGCGTTGGCAGGTTTTTCCCGCCATAATTGGCCGGCAGAAAGATAATCGAGCGAGGAACTGCGGGGGTAGCGAGACAGAGAAGGCGACCAAGCAGAAACTAAACCCGCCAGGACCCGGTACGGACACCATGACAGGACGTTGCGTGTGGTCGAAACCACAGGTCTGGGATGGCAAGGCCAATGAGGGGATACGGATAAATTTTGGTCTCTACTGTGTTACCGAGTTCAGCCTGGTTCGGCTATGAGCTGGCACTGAAGGACGAAAGAGAGTTGCTGCCATGGCTAGTTTCTCCATGCCGACGCAGTGCCAGAGGTGTCGGCAAATTGGGCCCTACCCTCGTCGGCGCTCGTCCCGCTTGCGGTTAGAAGGATAAAGGGCCGTGCCGTTTCCGTACCGTGGACATGCCATCTGAAAGCGCGTCATCTCAAAGGGAAACCATGCTTCCTTCACGTGTCGAGGCTGCAACGAGGGCAGACGAAGCAAAAGACGGCATTAAGCGAGAGCGAGTGGCATTGTATTGGGGCCGTGGCCTGTCTGCACCGCGAGACCCACCGAGATGAGGTGGCATGGGCAGCGTGGTCAGAGGCGGTGCGTCAATATCAAGCACTGTGTTCCTGGGGTGAACTGCTCAGCCCTGCGATCTCCAGGTTCGTGCGTAGAGATGCAGCCCGCGTCACATCCCAATACTGCAGCCTGTCCTGTTCCTGAGTTCCCGTGCTATGGCCATAGGTTTGGTGTCCTGCCAGCCAGCCCGGCCGCCGTCAACGCTAGCCAGCTCTTCACGACGGCGCTTGCTCGGTCTTCGCTTGCTGCGGATGAAGCGAAAGTGGCAGCTGGACAAAGGCACCGCACAAGCCTCCCGGCGGGGTGAGCACACCCTCGTCCTCCGTCCACGCTGCGCTGGCAGACGTGTTGTTCAATCCAAAGCCCTCCACGGTTGCTCCAAAGCCTGGCGGTTGTGACGTGTCGTACAGGTTGCAGATATTGCGCTAACCCAAACGACGCCACGATGCACGTGCCTACGGCCACAGTTACTAAGTAACCTTTGCAGGATCCTCGGGAAGGCCCACAATATCGCGCCCTACAAACTCCTGCACCCAACGCGCAACGCATCCTGCTTGTTAATTTAGTCGTGCATGCACCTCCGCCACTCTTGGGACGACTGTGGAACCCGCCCTCACTTCTCGGCTTCTGCACCGACGGGTGCCGCCGGCCGCGCATGAACGGCCGCGACGTTCGGTCGATGCAACCGTCTTCTAGTGCCCATGGCAAGGTTGCGCATCCTCGAGCGTCAAAATCAGTGAAACCATGCGTCACGTGTCCACAGAGGAGCGTCGTCATGGTGGTGTGCACAGCCTTGGTTGCATGGTAAACATGACGTCTTCTTTTTGGCCTGGCCAGAGCTCATCATCAACCGCCAAGATTCCAGTCAACATGGCAGGCGTTGGCAAGACATGTCAATTCATGCCCCTCCAAATTACCATTACACGCTGATGTTGAAGCCTCCGCGGCCATGCACCAACCTGGCGTTTTCTAGACTGTCTGGCCATATTGCCTGCTGACGTGGAACTCATCTTTATCCAAGACGTGATGTGGTGCCAATCGATAAATCCTTTCCAGCAACAATATCGCTCCATAGATTGTTGTCTATCGCAGTGGCGCACCAACACAATACTGGAAATCTGCTAATCTGCCCTTGTTTGAGCTCCTGCAACTTCTCCAGAGTAAATATATTCTGCATAGTAGCCTGTCATCCACAAAGTCGCCATCGAGTTGCAACCCGACATGGCACTAAATTGCTCCTTCGACCAGCCAATATCCGCATCAGACACACCTACATATCACCATCTCTCCAATCCAAACAAGTCTGTGTTCGACAGCAGGCCATTACGTCGACAGGATATCCACTTGCCGACGATTAGTCCAACACGGGACAGACGTACAGCGAACATCTTTGGCTTGTCTGCGAATTCATGTCGGCCTTACTTATTAACAAGTCTTTCCGAACCGTGTACGTGGCAGAGTGATCCATGCTGTGAACAGGTCGCATAAAGGGCGTCAGCCCAGCCATGGACATGGAGCTCGTTGCCATTCAATCAACACGACTGCATACACTACACCGGCACTCAGAGTTACACGTGTTTACAGCAGGATATAGACACAGCCATACAGAGCTAAAGCTGCACCCCCTCTTTAATGCCACATACAGACTGCCACGATGATATGATCTTCTTTGTAGAGGTCTTTAGAGGTCTGATTTTCAAGGCCGTCTCGCCTCTTCATGCGCCTCACTACCTCAAAATGGATATTACAAGCGATCTGCACGGGTCCATGCTCTGCAAGAATGCGTGTTCAGCTCAGTGTTTGACCCTATACCTCATCCATAGCAGGCTTGACTTCGCCGTAAAGCAGGAATTGGGCGAAAATCGCCCCATCAAGAAGCATTGTGCCTAGACCATCAACCAACCAGGGAAGGCTTACCAGTATATGGCTACCATAGATTTCTCGCGCTTCGCAGGACTCAAGGCAGCTATTTGAAACAGCGCTAGTCGAGTCAAACGCGAGAATCGATAAGACATAGTATGTAGAATTCCTCAAGCAAGCGAAAAGGAAAAACAACACAGACAGTCCCTCCACAGACTTTCGGTGCCAGTTCAGGATCAGTTGGGGGGAAGCGTGAACCAAAGTAAAGTGCGGCGCAAAATCAACCGAATATTTGACCCCAAATGTCGAACTCAGGGATCTCCCGACCAGGTGCTAGACTGTCATGGTTTGCGGACTCTTGACTCATATACCAGCAAACTATGCCTGTTGTACAGACCAAAAAACCATCGCCATGTTTCTTACATACATGCATAAGTAGGTATGTGTAGTGGGATTTGCAGGCTCTCTGAATACATTAGTCCAGTTGTTTTTATTGTTTTTGTTTGCGCTTCACCTCTCGTTAGTTATCATGTGCCCATCGAGTAGTGTTGTTCTTTCGTTCGGATTTTCTGTTTCGCTTGGCCTCAGCGTGGGTGGTGGCGCACTATCATCCTTCCATGTAAAGCCTCTGTAGAAGAAGCATTGGGCCAACAATACTACGTCGGCCACAGTAAAATATATGGCAAAGATGATCATGGTCGGCCGGACGCCTTGGAGTACAGCACCAACGACATTAAAAATGTCGCCTAGTAGCCATACCACGAGGAAGTGAAGTGATAGACCATGGTATGAACCTCGACGGAAATTTTTGTAAACCTGTGGGTTGAATACCACAACCCACGTCACAATGGAAATGGTTCTATTTGATTAGAAAAAAAAGCTAGCATAGATAGAACTGAAGATAGTGCCATGATGGAATGTATGTGCCTAATTCTACATCGCCGATGAAAACCACATACCCACATATGCCAGAAAAGGCATCGGTATTTACATCCTGTAACGACGCAAGAGCTGCCATCTTCGACGGTAACGTGGAGAGAGGTACAAGAGTTGCCAGTTGGTAAGAAACAAGGCTTGTGAGTGGGTAGCCCCTAGGAGTATATATTCAACAACGCCACTAAGAACAAAGCAGACCCACATCTATCAAAGCTGAAATTAAATTATATAAGGAAATCCGCATCATCTCTTTGCAGAAAGGGCGAAAAAAGGTATTGCGATGCTTACCGAGGGGCAGATGGGTGCCAAACCGCTGTTTTAAACCAATGCAGCCTCTTTCGCCGAGAAGGACGCATTCCCACTCCCTGGATTACTACACATCCAGCACCAAGCGACATAAGTAAGTCAGAGGTTTTCATCTACGAATTATCCATGATATAGCGATAAATAATGCAGCGCTATAACGAAACGACTTAACAAGGTTGGAGGAGGGGAAATTGGCTTGTAAGCGGGTTTGGTGGTGAGAATCATACCTAGCAAGCTCTGTGTGTGTTTTTCATGCATGTCTGACTACATCGGGATGTGTCTTACCAATTTACTACAGAAATCGTCGTAGAGGTTGAACAAGGTATATCTGAAGTCACTAGTCATCCTATCGAGCGTATCAGAATGTAGTCTAGGAGATCTCTTAATAATAGATGGGCAGAACTTAAATAGTCTTTTGTATACTCTACTATGCTATAGAAATTGTATCAAGAGACAAATCAAACTAAGATAACGATATCTTTGTGGTGAGATTTGATAAGTAGTAATATTATGGGTTGTTCTTGGGTGGAATCATCAAGTGTACAGACCGTATAAACAAGTGGATAGAGATGGGAAATCTAAAAGGATTTGATATTGAACGATAAGCTATGTTCATGATATTTTAACAACCACGTTGAATAAAGAGGTCAATAGAAATTGAAATCAAAATTGACTACAGAGTATTTACTGGCGAAATTACTCCGTTCCATTACACTCATTTCTTCCAGTTCTGCCATTCGCTGGATACTTAGTGTTAATGTGATAGCCTATCACGTGACTTTCTTGCTCCGCGATAATTATTACTTTATAACATCGACCCCTATAGATCGATGGCCCTCAATTGTGCATCCCCTGTTTCCTTGTATAAATGATTAAGGAAGGTGCTTAATGCTGAGGTGTATTCAATGTCCGTGGTTTATCAAGTCCACTATATAGCGCATATTGTGCCGTTACCAATCGACAGAGAATCAGATCCAAACACAACCAGGAGAGCAAGCGAGATTCGCCCGTGATTTTGCTGCTGAGACAAGCAGAGAGATATTCTCGTGTCAGATTCGTATGTAGATCTTTGCTTCCCCTACCCCTCCCACGTAAGACTCCAAATTTGTCCATTTGCAGTATACGACCACAATGTTGACATCGAGTGGTAAGATCATCATGTATGCAGACGATCGCTAGCTCGGACACTTAGTGGTGCTAGGTCGGTTCAGATTCAATGTCTGCAGTATGACACATCGATGCCTAATTTGGGAGATTGTATGCTTGTCGTGCTCAATCCATCAGGCTGTCATAGACTTGCCCTCTCTGACCCCCTTTGACCCGCATTGGCCAACCTTACCTGTCAAGTTCTATTCAAATATGTAGATATAGTCCCTTCAAACCCTAATCCAGGTTCATAGCGGTTTAACCACCGTGAATATAGACTTTTTGGCTCTGTTTATTCTTGTTGCCAACTACTCGTGTCTATTACCTAGATATTGTCTGACAATAGCCTCTCAACGAGCTGTTGTTTTCAAGTGGGGGTTCAAACTAACTAAAGATACTGTGTTGATTACACTAGCGAATCTACTAAGATTCTACTACAAGAGTTTTGCAGTTTTCTGATTACAATCATAAAAGTTGTACCGCTACAATTATAACCAAACTCTCGTTTGTTTAAGACAGCAGCTTGACCAATCATCTGCGCAGGAGTCTTGTAACTGAGAGCTCGCTAATAGGTGACGATGGATTGAGCGCAACAGGTAGAATATTGCGGTCAAGTACCGGTAAATGAGACTTTGAGGAAACTACCAGCAAGGCAGTTGGCACAACGCCACAGATTGCAGCTAGGCTTTCGCCCAGCAGAGAAAAGCAACAGCAGCGTTTGTTCAACTGGCGGACCAGGCGTTACGAGAACACTGTGCTTTAGAAGACAACCCCGCGAATAGGTAAGACTAGGTGGTGTAGTAGCACTATAAATCCTAGGCCTCACCCGTCCGTATACCCTAGGGGAGGCTTTTAGATAGGACGTTAAATCTGAACACACACACACACACACACACACCAGCAAGGCAGTCTTAGTAGTGTGTATGATCACGTGATATAGCTGGTTGGAACCTATCATTCGGCTTTGTAGTCTTCTTAGAAAAATAATGTATCGGGGTAATTTCGCTGCTTATTTCCATTAATTTGTTGAGGTTGCTAAATTGCTTTTGCTCAGGTACGAATACATGTGCAGTCTTGAGAGTGCAGATGCAACGATTCCCCTGGTCAGCAGTTCGGAAACTGCTTGCAACTTTACGTAGTACTACCCAAGCTTCGGTGGCTTTCGGCGCCAACGTTGCATCGCGGCGGCAGGGGGCGGACATGAATAGCGGGCCTACAGGCAAGACAGCCAACGCAATCGAAATGAGTTTCAAGAGTTGCGTAAGCAGTAGCAGGAGAGGTATTGATTGTTTCGCGAAACGGAACATAGGGTTTGGTCAAGTCAGTGGGCCGTCAATACGGAGTAGTTTTCTAGGACAATGGCCACGCAAGCCCAGCCATCTTGCAATCTATCGCCTCGGAATATTTTTCTATCGTGACAGTAACGAGATCTGCATGGTGAGCGATAAGAAGAACCCGTATCGATAGGTTATCGACAAAATGCAAACAGCAGCGAATGAGATGAATTGAGTGCCAATATAGGAGGCGGTGTATGTGGCTGGGGATGCTAAAATTAGCCACCAGCCTCCTCCGGACACCTTCGGACCAGCCGCTTTGTGACGCCCGCCACGCTTAGCAATGTGCAATTCCTGTTATAGCCCTCGCCATCATATTTCCAGCCTCGTGTGACGGGCTTCCGACAAGCTCCCGAGTGGTTGTCTCCTGGTTTCGGTGGGGCCGAGGCTTTCGTAGGGCTGGGCGGCCGATGGCTGGGATGTGGGCTGTAGTACGTACGTGTGTGGGGATGGCTAGAATGTGCTCTAGGGGATGTTTGTATATTTGGATTGAGCTATAAGGGATATAAGAGTTGCCGTCGTCAACACATAAATTGAAGTCTCCCCATTCACATCAAGTCTACAAACACATCCTTCAGCTACTCAATCCCAATACCCTCATCCTCGACAATCTACCACCGAATACTCACCACTCCAACCAAAGCCACCATGCAATTCTCTATCATCTCCGTCGTTGCCGCCCTCGCCGCTACTACCTCTGCCTTGAATCTTCCCACAAATGGCACGGCCACCTCGGCACCCTACCCTACCGGCACTGGCGCTGGCTCTCCTAGCAACGCCAAGCCTACTTCATCGACCCTCCCCTTCACTGGAGGCGCCTCGCACATGGCCGGCTCCGCTTTCGGTCTCATTGTTGCTGGTGGTGTTGCTCTGGTACGTTTACGCTATCCCACATATATCAGAGATCCTGGCTAACAATCCTTTAGATGATCTAAAAACCATGAAAGATATGTCCTGTTTTATCATCAATGTTTAATAGTTATAGCGGGTTACAATTTGGCGCATGGTTATGATATTTGGCGTTTCTACGACTTTCGGGATTACACAAGACGCAATAACAAGCATGGAGGCGCATTACAACCTGCATGCAACGAAGAATAGATATATAGAGAAGCGATATCCCAAGAAGAGAGGTGAGGCCTGGAACTTGTTAATGGTCCAAAAGCCTACTGAGAAGGAAGTCGATGGGGTTGGATCTACTATGGTCGATAAGGCCGAAACAATCAAATCAAGTTAAATCCACATCATACCAAGATTATATGACTTCAAAATTGATGTGAACCTATTCTATTCTTACACTGATGTTGAATTTATTGTGAAAAATACCCACGTTTTTTTGGTAGGATGGGGCCCTTTGAATTTCCTGTTTGGGATGGCGCGGAATGACGCGCGACGCGACTTTCGCAATACGCAACTTTCCAACTTCAAATGGTTGTAATTCTTCCCATTTCACTACGCCACAGCTCCAATGGCCAAACTACATGATAGCCTACTCCAGGGCGAGCCTTTGTAAGACCACCTCTCTCCTAGAGGATAATTGCTAATAGCAACACCAGTGAGGATGCACCGCTCCCACCGTCCCGAAATGCATCTGCATACAACCCGCTTCACAATTTCGTATTACCGCAAGGCACCGATAGACATTACTCACAACAATTCGCTGATATGTACTTTCTGCGTCTAATGCAACTAAAAAAGACGGTGAAGGAGAGAGCTGAGGAAGCCTGGCACAACTTTGAGGTATGCTTTGCTCGACTGTGGGGCTATACAGGATTGCCAGTCTTGCATGGCTGACATACATTTAGTTAGGTGGACAGAAAGCAAGCTTCGTTGACCGTGTGCTTGATGTACGACAAGGCGAACTGTGCTGGGTAGTAGGGACGGTGTACATGGAAATGGCACAGAAGCCAAATGTGTTGGACGATATTGGTAAAGACGTACGATCCTCCCCCAAGACTCGAGAAATGAGAATCTAATAGCCTTCAGCACTGGATAGCCGATCCTCCTCAACGCGATACCTACATATCTCCCTCTGGCGACGACGAGATGATGCTCGAGGATGAGTCGGGACGCCTTCGAGTCACGGGCGAACCTCTGCACGGCCACTTTGTCACAGGGTGTATACTTGCAGCGTTAGGTACGGAGGAGGCTGATGGCACATTCAAGGTCATTGCAACACAATGCGCTGACCTACCGAGACAACCACCGCGCTGGGAGCGTGACGACATAGCGCTCTCAAAGGAAAAGCAAAGCATACCAAAACGCGAGCCCGCCGGAAAGCTAGCCATTGTGTCTGGGCTGGAACTTACAGGCGCAGATGACGATGAGGTAGCGCTGGATCTACTCGTGGAGTACTTGACAGGAGAAGCGGCAGACCCATCAACACAAGAAGATGCCTCGAAAATAACACGCCTAATGATAGCAGGAGGCTCGTTAGCACGCGGCTCACCAATTCTATCACGAGAAGACTTTGCTGCGAAGAAGAGCGCAGCCAGACACTACGGATACGATGCCTCATCATACAATGCAGCACCAACTGAACGCCTCGACGAGTTTCTCTGCGAGATACTGCCTACCCTCCCTATCACCATGCTCCCAGGCGCATCAGACCCCTCAAATGTCGCCCTCCCCCAACAGCCCCTCCACCCCGCGCTCTTCCCCAACACCAGACTCTACGCCGAGCCCCGTATCGCCAGCAACGAAACCCTCAATGGCTTCGACGCCGTAACAAACCCCTGGACCGGCGACATTGATGGCTACCGCGTCCTCAGCACGGGCGGCCAAACCGTCCAAGACCTACTAAAATACTTTGAGCACGTTAAGTCCGTCGACGCAATGGAAATGATGCTCCGCTGGCGTTGTGTGGCCCCTACCGCTCCGGATACCCTATGGTGCTACCCCTTTCAAGACCATGATCCTCTCATGTTGACCGAATGCCCACACATGTATATTGCTGGCTGCCAAAAGAAGTTTGAAAAGAAAATCATAACGGACCCGGCGGGCCAGAAGGTGCTGATTGTTAGTGTACCAAAGTTCCAGACCACTGGCAAGATCGTACTTGTTGATATGGAGAGTTGGGATGTCGAGGTTGTCAAGGTTGGAGTGAAGGGGCAAAAGAAGAGCAAAAGGGAGGGGTACGCGGCAACGGAGGAGGAGGAGGAGGAGGAGGAGGAGAATGGGTATACCAAGGTAGAAGAAAATGGGGATACCAAGATGGAAGAGTTGGAAGAGTAGTTGTACACATGTATGCGAATTGATACCCAAGTCCTTGGTGCATGCACAACAAATCTAGACCACTACTTCAATTTGCGCACTGCGGTTATCATTGTGTTAATGGATGTCCAAGCTCTTTGCCTGTTAAAATCAGGGTCCTAAGCTGCATCAAAGGATTCCGTCCTAACCCCAAAGTAGACGCCGAAGAAAAACAAAAGCCTTGAACAATGTCATGCGCGAAAGCTTAGCCCTCCCCCTTCCCGCCCCGTCATGTTGGGCATTGCGTAGAAATGATGTTATCAGCCGTGTGATCTGCAGCCATCAATCTTGGGCGGGGCTTACGTAGCCATGTTTGAGACATTCCCTCCTCAAAAAACACAGATACCGCGCGTCTGATTAGTGTGATGTCACATATCACTTTCGCGCTGCAAAAAGACTGGGAAAGCCAAAACGATGAAACGTGGATATTCTAGTGTACATACGCATGCGCAAAAAAAAAAGAAGTGGTATCTCGCTGTTTCTTGCATCGACGTTCCTAACCCAAAAAGAAGAAAAAAGGCATTAATCCAATGATGTGCCTACAACGCCTGTAATACTCATGTAAAAAATTACCAATCTTCTTGTTTTGAAGTGATACACGGAATTATTTTCCATGGATTAGTCGAACAACAAAAAAGGGGGGGTGTTCGAAAAGAGAAAAAAAATCCTCTAAAGCTTGTATTGAGCCGTGGTCCATTCTTCGTATTCGCGCTTGAGTTCGTGCTGGACCCATTTGATGGTAATGGCGGCCCAGATACCTGCCCAGAGGAATGGTACGACCCAGCCGACCTAAGTTAATTAGCAAAAGCATATCACAAGAGTGTTGGAGGGATATTAGAACATACCACGTAAGCAGCGTCACGCTGAATGGTAAAGATGATGGCTGTGCAGACAGCAGAAGTGACAATGGCGCCAATGGCCCAGAAGAGTGTTAAGCGGTGAAGCATCTCACGGAACGCCTTGCTGGCCTGGTATCGGAGGTTCAATCGCTGACGGAACTCGGTGCCGCCGGATCCGTCCACTGCGCAGATATCCTCGATGTAGGCATAGATACCGGGACGGAGAGGGGCACCCTGTGGCAGCGACGAGATACGGCAAGGGGCAGGGATGTTCATGATGCGTAGGATGTCGACAAGGAGAAGTTCAACACCAATTGCAAACATCATGGTTGGTGCTGGCATGGCGAGGACACGGATCGGTGGGTCGTGGGGACATGTGCCGCTGCGAAGATTTAGTATCATCCCATGGAACATAGCAACATGGAAAACTTACGCAATCAGTTCAATCATGACGAAAAACCATCCCACCGACAAATTCCAGTGAAACCAGTCGAGATACCATCTCTTAGCTCCGATGACGCGGCAGCTGGAATTCTTCTTCCACAGTCTGTGGAAGCGGATGAAATACTCAACAATCGACACGGTTCCCAGCAAGGCGGTGCTGATACTGAAGACGGCATTGGCGGACAATTGGTCGCGAGTGAGGCCGTACCACATGCCAAAGTAGAGGCCAATGGGCATGCAGACGCAGTCGAGAATAATGAGGGTCCAGAACCAGAAAATAGCCTTCTTGCGGGTTCGCAGTGAGTAGTTGAGCGGTGGTGGACGCGTAAAGTCGGGGTCATCGTATGTGACTTGGGTATGGGGGAAGAGAGCGTGTCGGTTTGGCGATGGAGCGCGACTTGGCTGTGCGCTTGGGTTGAGGCTTGTTGTATTATTGGCAGCGGTCATGTCTGATGCTTGTTCCTTGTCGTCGCTTACACCGTCAATCTGAACGGTTGGTACTGGCGTCGTGTCTATTCGGTCTGCAGTGATAGGGCGAGCGTCGTCGGCCGCCCTCAAGGCGTCTGTCGACCTTTGTTCAGAAACCATTGTTGCGGTAGCAATAAGGTGTCGGTGATAGTGCGGTAGTATTTGGGCCTCGACAAAGAAAAAAATCGGAAGTGCCGGCAGTGAGGATTACTTAAGAAACGGGGAGAGTGTTGTCCGGAAGTCAACGGGTGGGATGGAGCCTTGGATGGACAGGCGGAGTTTAGTATAAAGTAAGGGTGAGGGATTGTGTCGTGTGTCAGCAGCGGGCAGCCCGCGTGGCCCAGATATGGAACCAGCAGAAGGCTCTCGTTCAGCGGCGCTCGTGATGTCATAGGCTGCTTTTTCAGGGTCCATGGCTTGGCGCTGTCTAGGCGCCTCGGCGGTGACGCGACCAACTGCTGATTGATCCTGATCACGTCCGCATTCGTCCTCTGACCTCACCACCAAGCCTACGCCCACCCTCCATCGCCGCTCCACGTACGGGATATGTGAAGCATCTTACTGATGGGCTCTCTACGCAGCCTTCTTTTATGCTATTTTACTCTCGCTACGTCCTGGGCTGCTAGCCCCCAGGCTGATGCGACACAGCAACCGCTGGTCCGCGGAACAGCAAAAGCCACTGGCAGTAATGCCACCATAATTCCCCAGGATCTTTTCTGGGAGCTCGAAGAACTCGCGCGCATTGTCGACATCTCCTACTGTGTCGGAACCGCAGGACTGGGCATAAAGAAGCCCTTTACATGTGCGAGCCGCTGTGCGGATCGCGACTTTGAGACTTTTGATCTAGTCAAGGTGAGTCGCTGCACGTCAGCATGCGTCGCATTACTTATGTGCTGATATATGTATGTACACGTAGGCATGGAATACTGGTCCTTTCCTTTCCGACTCGTGTGGCTATATTGCGCTCTCGCACCACCCTGCTGAACCGCGACTGATTATCGCGTTCCGTGGCACCTATTCCATCGCAAACACTATTGCAGACTTGTCGACCATACCCCAGGAATACATTCCTTATCCAGGCGACGACGATTCAGATAGCGGCGGTTCGGACTTTTTTACCCCCCGAGTCGGTGTCCCGGAGAGTGTTGCGGACGGTAACGCTCCTCCGGCAGAACCGCCGAAATGCGAGAATTGCACCGTCCATACAGGCTTCTACTCGTCCTGGCTCAACACG